ATAATCATATGTATATTTAATGTTGTTTTGGAATGTTAACCAAAGATGAAGAACTGGATTTTACCTAGATACCCAAATTACCTAAGTGTCCTTACAAACAACAATGTATTGCTTGGTCTTTCAGGTGCTCCGCGAAACTTCTTTTGAAATTATCAACATCAATCTAATCAACGATCAAAGCCGAGCTACAATGTAACTGCGAAACTACCTATTCTAGGTAACAAGTAACAAATTCTAGAGATCTTTTAGAGTACATACAATCTAAGACTCTTTCAACTTGCAATAGTATCAAAACATTTGAATTATCTACACTTTACAGCAAGTTATTTCCATTCCAATAAAATTGAGAATGGAAATGGGGAATGTGTCAAAGAGACAACAACCCGACCATAGAACAGACAACAGCAGAAGGTCACCAACATCAAAACAAATTGAGGGCTGCTCCTGTTTTGTTTCATATAAATGAATGACCAACTGAGATACAACTTTTCGTTTCTATGTAGCAATATTCAAGTAGCGCCTGCATATTATATATATCTCCAAGTTGATACGATATTCAAGGGCCTGCGTTTCCTATCATGATTGAACTTGATAGAGGGTTTCTGCTGACAAGGAAGCTATTACATCCCTTTTTGGAGTTGGAATCATCCCATTAACACATTTACGAACACCATCGATATCACGAGTTGGTTGGCCGATGGAATATCTGTTGACGATGGATATGTTTCAATTGTTGTAAGTACAATACTGTCTTTTTCCCCAAAATTAATCCTACCGAATTAGACTAATCACCGAGTTTGTACTTACATGAGCAACACGACTGGTGCTCCTTATGGAACAGGATCTGTTTACCTTTCCAGTGCACCTGATATCACTAACTGTTTTGCGGGTTTAGTGTTGCTCAGTCTTTTGTCTACTATGTTGTGTTTTATATCCTGTTGTATGGGGGGGGGTTGTCACTTTGTGGGAGGGGGCATGGTTTTGTCAGTTTATTTTCGAGTTTGAGTATCCCTTTGGTATATTTCATCTTTCCTTTAAAATTACATCATTTATGTTAGAAAATCTCCAACCCGTCTCTCCTTTGTTACTAACATTAAAAAAAAAAGATGATAATATTTAATCTTTATATTTAAGAACGAGCTTAACAGTGTTTTTGAAAATAATAAAGATTTTTTTCCAAATCATTTATTATAATATTTTTTATATCATATCTCTCAATATACAACAGCAGTTATATGCTGTCTGATAATGTGAAATTACTGAATTAAAACAATTCTTTTAAATATATTTTAGTTTCAACAAGTATGTCAGCATTTCTTTTTTTGAATTATTTTCTTGGCTGTGCACGATGGAAAGATAATTGCATAATATTTTCCATTTTTATAAAAAAAAAAAAAAAGCATTATATGAAGAAGTTCTGACGTCATAACATTAAATCTTGTGTAATTCATATGTATTTCTTTTTAATTTTTTATTCATTATGTGCAAAGTTGAAATATTTCATTTTTTAGGGGGGACAGGCTTCGATAAACCTCACGATAACTGATATTCCCGTTTGAGACATTGTGACTAGATTCGGGTGGGTGGTGCGTTCATCGCCGCCTATATAGAAATGAGATGTGATATAAGTGCGAATGAGACAACTCTCCATCACAGTGACAGTGTGTAAAAATTCAACAATTATAGGTCAAAGTACGGCCGTCAACACGGAACCTTGAATCACGCCGAACAGCAAGCTATAAAGGGTCCCAAAATGACTGGTGTAAAACAATTCAAACAGGAAAACCAACGGCCTAATCTTTATGAAATAAGAGAAACGAGAATCACTCATGACAGGTCAAATTAACACGAAAGTACGATTTGAGAGTACTCGCAGTTACTGGAAGCTTGTTAAAAGCCAAAAACATTTAAAAATAAAAAAATCATGCATCAGACACTAAAATCAATTAAAACTTATTCCAGGGAATTAGTGTTTTAACGTCATGGACAGTCAAAGAAAACATGACTTGTGCAATGCCAAAATAAGAGTATCGACAGGCAATAGAATAGTTAGAATTTCACCTTATAATGAATATGTGTTATGTCATATATAGAAAAAGCAATCTCTATATAGAAAATAAACATGGATGTGTATTTATACATCCCATAAAAAACATTCGAAAAGAATACAGATTTACTTATGTTTTTATTTGTTGATGACAAAATCGATAATTGTGCCAATGTAAACAATATTCAAAGATCTTATTACAACATTAATAAGATAATATTTACTAATTAGTTATGGTTATCGTATCGACGCAACTGGTATCGCTTCGTTTGGACTTCATGCGATTTAGTTAATTTTCTTTAGATTTTTTTATCTTGATTTGTATATTCTTAAAGGATTCACGAAATTTGAACATCGGTAAACTACTATTGCATCGCATTAAAGACGTACGTATTCTCATATCTCTAATTTTACTTAAAAAACACCAAATATTTCTTTTTTAAGGTTCATCAAAAGGAATTGCAAAATATGACCGTGTTTACACAACAAAATCTGCTATGAGCACAGACAAACTGATGCATCTATGAAAGTTTTAAGGCGTGGCAGGACCTAGATATTTAAAAGTTACATGTAGTCTATGTTACAGAAAATTAAAAATTACCTGGATTTTGATGTGCATTTTATTTCCAGTCTGCAGATGATAGCAAAATAAACAAACACATGAGTTTCATTTGATACGGTCCACTCAGTTACACAGTTTAAATCACTTAATGTTTGCAGATGTCTATTGTCCATCTATTGTCCATTTGAATCAATACTATTACTTGATTTATTTCACTACTCTAAGCGGGGCTTAACCGGTTCGCTTATCATAGACCAGTCCATCTATGGATAGGTGTTTAGGAATAAACTCATCAATGAAGTGTCTAATTGTGGTCATTGGTGGGTTAAAATATGTAAACACTATATGTGTTTTCGCAAAGTAAAAAGAGAGACACAGGCGTTGATTTTTTTTTTAAATAGAGTTCGGCTGTTGTCTGCTCTATGGTCGGGTTGTTGTCTCTTTGACACATTCCCCATTTCCATTCTCAATTTTATTTTAAAACATGTAAAAATTGTCACATTTTGGTAATTGTGGATATGAAAGTATAACTATGACGACGGCATGTAGTTGCAAATTATACATATGTCGTTATCCTATAACGTTTTGACATACTTTTTTATTCCTTTCATTACGAATGCATTTTTTGTTGTTGTTGGGGTTGGTGCTAACCAGGTTAGCTTCTGCCTCTTTGTAAAGCCTATTATTGGAGTGGCCGTCGGTTGCTGAATCTGTGACTAAAAAAACTTTGACAAGTTGTAAACTATTTTTTTTTGTTGAGAGGAAACTTTCAATAAAAAATTATCTTCTTACCTTCTGCCATGATTCGTAATACAGAATGATTTACCCGAACTAGCAGATGTGCATAAATAGTAAGTCTGAGAAGCGGTAAAACATACATGTGTAAATCGAAAATTTCTTTTTTGGTAAAGGTGAATAGTATGATCATATTTAAGGAAGGAAAAATAGGGTGTAACAAAGGTTTTTGATAGAATAATGCAATAGCCGACATTTTGAAATTCTTAGCTATAGCACACATAAATGCTATACATTTAAAACTATTTCATTCGTGCCATTGGTGACACTGATTGGTGATTAGAAATTCATAATAATTATTATAACGGGAATCACCCTTATCACACATATCTTCAAATAGACTGTCCTTGTGCAAATTAAAACGTAAGCTCCGCCCAATCAGTTGAAATAACATTGGTTATACTCACAACATTTATTATATGAGGGATTTTCTCAAACCTCTATCCAAACTTAGTTTATTTTGGCACCTTCTGCATGAATGAAAAAAAATTGATATCAAAATCCAGAAAGTTTATAACTTTCTGAACATAAATTGCATTTAAATTGAATTGTCTAGTTCCTGTCATGCAATTCAACTTTTCCGGGTGCACAGGGTTGTCTGTACTCAGAGTAAAATTCGTGGTGTAAATACCGTTATATTTGGGGGTGGGGGGGGAGGGGTTATGTGTTTCAAAAACTTCTGATCTGATTTAGAGATTAAGGATACAACATATACAGTTAAGTCTGCCTCATATCTTGACTTACATCTAGAAATTGATAATTAGTGTCGGTTGAAAACAAAACTTTACGACAAAAGAGATGATTTCAGCTTCCCAATTGTGAACTTTCCATTTCTATGTAGCAACATTCCAGCAGCGCCTGCATACGGAGTATATATCTCCCAATTGGTACGATATTTCCGGGCTTGTATTTCCTATAATGATTTCCTTGATAGAGGGTTGCTGCTCACAAGGAGGCTATTGAACCAAGAGTTCTAAATGGTGAAGTTGAAATCATCCCTTCGTAAATTTTAAGGACGCCATCACGATGTTGGTTGACCGTTATGGAATAACCGTTTCACAGATAATATCGGATATGTTTCTTATGTCGTAATTACAATCCCCTTCCTTTTTCACCACGAATGTGACCTACCGAATTAGACTATTTACCGGATTTGTAATAACATGAGCAACACGACGGGTGCCACATGTGGAGCAGGATCTGCTTACCCTTCCGGGGTACCTGAGATCACCCCCAAGTTTTTGGTTGGGTTCGTGTTGCTTAGTCTTTAGTTTTCTATGTTGTGTCTTGTGTACTATTATTTGTCTGTTGGTCTTTCGGTTTTTTTTTTTCGATCTATGAGTTTGACTGTCCCTCTGGTATCTTTCTTTCTTTTAGAGACAAACACATTCCTCTGTAAGAACATATAACATTGACAAGCGTAAATATTCCTTAAAAACTAGTTTTGACATAATGTTCTTGACATGATTTGTGTAATAAATTAACAATTAATAAGGGGACTTACGAGGATGGAGAAAGTAACACAGTTAACTATGCATGTAGAATAAGTTTAAACTACATGATAACAATAGAATAATATTACAATTCATATTGTAGCGTCTATGGTATACATATGTATGTATGGTCCTTCAAGATATCCACCACTGCATTATTTTAACGAGATTGAGGGGATGAGGGATGAATTGATTTTGTTGAAAGGAAAAACTATAGGGATACTCTGGTTTTATTTTACATTGAAGATGTCAGAAAGTACCATGGATCCAAGTATGAAATTAATGCTTAGTAAAACAGGAAATATTCGAATGACAAACATAAAGAGCATTATATGTATTATAACTAAATCCTCAAAAGAAGAAGACTTTTCTATTATGGATTTAGGATCTTTGAAAAATGACATTGTAACAGTGGTCCGGGACAATGTGACGGTACCAATTATTTTGAAAGAAACCAAACAAATTGATGAAGATGGCAATGATGAGAAATGGATTTTAGATGTTATGGATGTGATACATAGACAAAGTAAGTTGCTTGATAGCCTTTAACTTATCTTGTTGCTTTTTCTCAAAGAGTTTTTGCATATTGCGCTTTTCATGGACAATAAATATTTCCCAAGGATGCTGCTTACAAGAAAGATATTGAACCAAGGGTTCCTAATGACAAGTTGATATTACTTCTTTTCAAGTTATTCGGATGTATGTATGCTTTGGAATATATATGTCATGCATTATATGTCAAGCGAGGCAGTCAGTGTTTACCCATCTAGATCACCAAATTCAACTCTCCTCCACCGAAAGATTTTTGGCATGAATTTAAATTCCCCATTTTCGTTTTCCTTATATATAGATATAGGATGATGTGGTATGAGTGCCAATGAGACAACTCTCCATCCAAGTTACGATGTATAAAAGTAAACCATTATAGGTCAAGGTACGGCCTTCAACACGAAGCATTGGCTCACACCTAACAGCAAGCTATAAAGGGCCCCAAAAAATTACTAGTGTAAAACAATTCAAACGGAAAAACCAACGGTCTAACCTATATAAAAACGAGAAACACGTATGAACTACATAAACAGACGACAACTACTGTAATCAGATTCCTGACTTAGGACAGGTGCAAACATTTGCAGCGGGATTAAACGTTTTAATGGTACCAAACCTTCTCCCTTTTCTGAAACAATAGTATAACATCACAACATAGAAAAACACACTATAAAATATCAATTGGAAGGCTTAACTCAATCAAAAAACGTAAATTAACACACAATGAACGAATAAATTTGACCTGTGACACCTGAATGCAAATACACAGTTAATAAAAAATTACAAGGGATAAATAATAAAGTCAAAAGTAAATAAACAGGTTTTAACAAAGTTAAGTATGATATCACGGTGAAATGTCAAACAATTTTTAGAAAATCATCACTTTTGAAGAAACCTGCGTCATATTATACACAGGTAAATGAAAATAATTTTGTTGTTAAGTATACTTCTTCTTCTGTGTGTATAATAACTGTTTGTCGATTGTACATTGTTTGATTATCTGTCAAAAAAGTCATTGACTGATTTGGACTTAAACGACTTCAGGCTTAACATATCGTTAAAATATCTTTTGTTGGAGACCGTAAGTTGACCACTAAATATCTTTTTGTCGTTTTATTACTGTCTCCTCAGTGTATATCAAGTGGTTTTTTTTCTTTTCTTTCTGTTAATAAAAATATGAACAAGAGGATGTGGTTTGATTATCGATGAGATAAATATTAAGCAGAAACCAAAAGATGTTGATCCAACCAAACATAGATCATCTTATGGTCTTCAACAATGAGTAAAGCCCAAACCGCATACTTGAAAATTCAAACGAGATAACCAAAGTCATCATAATGACTAAAACAAAAAATACATTCAATTGATAATAACAAACGACACGGACTGAATTTCAGGCTTCCAATTGTGACAGGCACATGAAGAAGGTGGCAACTTTTATCTTTGATGAATATTTTTTAAACATGTATGATACTACACTAACAGTGAAAAGTGTGCTTTTTATGTAGCTTGAGGTTCTTTTTGTTGTTTTTTTAATCTCTGCATTGTAGTCTACATAGGATAGTACATGTAATCTTATATAATTGAAGGTTGAAGCTGTTTACTGTTGAAAGTTTTACTTGTTGGCTTTGTCCTAAATAAGTCTTCTTGTTGAGTTTTGAAAGGCGGTATTTCAAAACGAAATATAAGTACTATCAATCATATGTTTCCTCATATTTATTTAAATCTTTTATTGTAGTGTCCATGGTATACACATTGAGGTTGATAAATAAGAGCGTACTTGGAAAAATTCAAAGAAATCGTCGGCGTGCTACACGTAATGATATCGATGATTATAAGTTGATTGTGCTTATGGGGAATACCAAAGAGGTACGATGCTTTTATTCTGATTTATCAAAATCAGAAAAGACTATAGACTCATATATGAATTTAATGCCTTTAGTAGAACTGCAAAAGACAGCAATTAAGGGTATCATATGTGTCGTAGCTAAATTTTCAAAAGAAGAAGACTTTTTACTGTATCCGAAAGTTCAGTCTCAGTTTGACGTTGACACAGTCACTGTAGTCCGGGACAAAATGACTGTCCCAAATCTGTTGAAAGAAACCAAACAAATCAATGACACTGGTACTGATGACAAATGGCTTTCAGATGTTATGGATATAATAAACAGAAAGAGTAAGAAGCTTTTATTAATCTTAACAATAATTATCTGAAACACAATCGAAGGAATACATAATTGATTACATAGTGTATATAGCTATATAGAGTATGTAAACTGGCACGATATTCGATCACCAAAGTATTAATGCAAAATGAAAATAATATATATATTTATATTTAAACTGATCCACGTCTAAATAGATTAAATGTTGATTGTTGCTATTTTTTGACACTGTATATGATTTTTAGTTTTATTTTGTAATAATTTTGATAATATCATTTACTTCTTTCTTAAAAATATATAGAGCAGATTTTGAATATATTTTTTGTAAATTTAATTTCATTCTGACCTTTCCGAATGCTAAATTTTCCCGAAAATCCATCTAAGGTTAACTTTGCCTGAGGGAATTGAAACCTTAGTTTCTTTATAATTTAAAATTTTTAAATTTTAAGTTTCTGTTTCGATATTCCAAAAATCTTTAACATTGGCGATATGAATCTTGGAAAAGGAAGGGAAGAACAAAAATTTCAATTTTCATTTCATATTATTATTAACAGATACGTTTTTTTTAGAATATTATTTCTTTCATGTCCAGTCATTTAATGAATCTCACACCATGCAGTAACTGCTTAAGCGTTTTGGTAGGATGTTTACAGGCATATAAATAAAAACATTTTTATACCAAAATTTGTGTCAGCTAGTTTTTGATAATTGCATCCCAACTTCGTGTTGGTCTTTCTAATATTCTATAGATTAGTTTAATATTCTTGGTTTTAATGAAACTTTCAAAACTGATCATTTCGATTCCCTCTAGCTTTCATCTAGACAACATAATTTCCATTTTACATGGTTGACTTTGGAGTCCAAAACAAAATCCCAGAGCTTTGTTTCTTTTTTACAATCATTAGGTTTACCTTTCAATTCAACCTCGTATCCCAAAATAGCATTAACATTTTTCATTATGGCCCTGAAAAAGAGTTGTTGGGCCATACAGTTTTACCCTTATCCGTCATTATGTCATTCCTTCATTCCTTCATTCCGTCATTCCGTCATTCCGCAACGAACAATTATACGTACTTTTTTTTCTAAACGCCTTCACATATTGATTTTTAGTATGTGAGTCTACAATGATGAGTTACAGATTGAGTTTACGTTTGGTCCGCTCCACTGGTTTTTGCAGAAATTACTGGGTTTGGACTTTGAAAATTTCATGAAAAAAGCAGTAATACGGACTTTTTTTCTCGCTGCTTTCACATATTGAGCTGATTTTTAGTATGTTAGTCTTCTATGATCAGTTATAGATTGAGTTTACGTCTTGTTTCGCTCCGCTGAACTGTGTCTAAATTATTGGCTTTGCATTTTTAATATTTCATAAAAATAACAGTCGTACAGACATTCATTCTCAAATTTCCACTAATAATGGGTTCAGGCGTTTTTTTGCAATCGAGGCATTTTGTGCCGACAAATCTTGTTATCAAAACTTATCTCTGTAAGTAAGATGTCTTGTTTTCAAAACGTGAAAACAAGAAAGCCATAAAAGCTGAAACAAAATTATAAAAGATTGCTTGGATATTTTGTATTATAATATCAAGAATTGCTAAGGTGTGGTGTGATTTTGAGGACAAGCTAAACGTCTTTGATTTATTTTATGCACCTATGAAAACATGAAGCTCACATTATGATTATAAATTATCTATGACCTTTTTCTAAAATAGGAGCTTACAGTGTCAAAATTTCTATTCCAACAAGGTTTGTAGAATACGATATCAAAAGAGGGGGGCGAAAGATTCCAGAGGGACAGTCAAACATATAGATCGAAAATAAACTGACAACCTCATGGCTAAAAAATAAAAAGACAAACAGACAAATAATAGTACACAAGACACAACATAGAAAACTAAAGACTAAGCAACTCGAACCCCACCAAAAACTGGGGGTGAGGTATCCTTAGAAATTAACGTTTTGCAATCCACAAACGTCAGGTTTTGTAAGCATCGAAACCAAAAGGCCGAAAAAGTACAACATGAAAACACAATTTGAATGTGCTTACAATTTGGCTACTCCTTTATTTATAATGTATTCTTCAGTTCATGTCTGTACCCGAATTAATGGAAACTTGATAAGTGGTAACCTCCGATTCAAACAGTTCTATAGCAACGAAACCGACCAATTGACAGTTGTTTCATTGGAAATCACTCAACAGCATCTTCTTTTTATATAAGTAGTGGTATACTGATTCTGAATTTTAACCAGCTGTTGGCTGTACTGAGTTAAATTTCGAACCAAGATGTGTATTATTGGCACTTAAGGCTTTCCACCATTTCAAAATGTGAATTGAAAATTTTTTCACGGTCATACAAGAGGACACATTGGTACCATCAAACAGGGTGAGGACATAATTTGTATTTAACTTATTATATTGTAGTGTCCATGGTATATATATTGAGATACACCGAAGATCGTTCAGGAAATGAGTCATATGATAGTAATCATCCAATGTATGATGAAAATTATAGATTGATTTGGCTTATGGGGAATACCAACGAGATACGATGGTTTTATTCTGCTTTGTCACAGTCCAAGAAGATTTCACGAAAAGAATTATTGCATGTGCCGTCAAAACAACTTCACACTGTCACTGTTCAGAATATGATATATATCATAGGAAAAACTACAACGGAAGACTCTTTACAACTCCCAAATTTTGAGGATTTTAAATATAACCCAGCAAACGTGATAACAATAGTTCTGGAAAATATACAGGTACCAAATGTTTTGAAGGAAACTAAACAAATCAATGTCACTGGTAATGATGACAAATGGTTGTCGGATGTATTAGATGAAATCAAAAGCACAGGTAAGTTTTTAAAAGTTGTTTTGATCTGAACTTAACGTTTAAGGCGAGTGACATTTTTTTCAAAAGTCGCTTGCTTAACGACTTTAATGCACCCACCTAACATACGTCTTTATTATATATCATTCAAAAGCTTATTAACTGTACATTCTGTTTCGCCCTGTCGTCAATAATTCGCACGGTTCAATTTTCGGTAAATCAAGGTCAAACGTCAAGAATGAACATTTCTAAATTTTGCAAGATTTTCAAGAAAATCACCTTTTCTGGTTCTTATATGACATTTGGTTTTCTTTTTGGAGTTTTTTTTTTGATTTTTTTTTTTTGGTTTTTTTTTTTGGTTTTTTTTTTTTAAAGTGTAATACCACCATTTATTTTCCCCTATTAATCTTTGTTAAATTTGCACTTTTCAAAAAATTGTGCAGAATTTATTTTTGTTTCAAATAAAGAAATACTTGGCATGAGTAAAGTTTTATCCTGTCCAGTACTATCGAAAAAAAATCACATAACATTTTATTGCATATAACAAAATAACCATCACTGGAAGTTAACCAATCAAATCTTCCCCCTTTTTTAACCCGTGTACAAGCTTTAGTAACCATGTAACCTCAAGTTTTCAAAATATTCTATAGGAACCCTAAATAAAAAAATAATGGTGCTTTGAAATACCCAAGATATATGTTTATGACCCAGAAATGTTTTACTGCAATGAAATGTAGGATCGATAACCTACAACGGTCAAATTCAAGGGAATATTTTTTTTCGACCTTTTTTCGTATGCAAACGGATGTGACGTACTATGATTTGGTGGTATTACACCTAAAGAAGACTTTTATGTTAAATAAACTGAATGTGTCTTTTTTCCTTTGTAATACTGGTTATTTCAAGCATTCCTGTCAAGTTTTGTCATAATCAGTTCAATAGTTTGAGAAAAATCTAGTATAATGTAAGACGACATCTACAGCGATTCGAGCAAAATTACTTCGAAAAATTCAAACCAAGCCGCATCATGATAGAATAAAGTGTGGACCAATAAATGTTCAAATATTTATCTCATCTGCCTACAAACGGTTGAATATGATACAAAAGATGACTTTAGGATGATAAATACTACTAATGGACCTCTTTGTCTTCCTTATAAGGTCTCTTTTGGTCCATTTATACCTCTCATTTCCTCAAAATTTCTACTTTTTAGGCCAATAAATAGAAATTTGGGGGTAACTTTCACTCATTTATGATAGAAATGTTATGATAAATGATTAATTGAAGTATTCAAGCTGAATGAGCTATCCGAATAAAAGTTTACTGTCTCCAAGGAGGTTTCAATAAGTCCTTACGTAGAACTTAAATTACGCCGCGTTCCAGAGAGGGACATAAAAAGCTTCTCTTTTGGTGAATAATTTGTTGTTACTGCTTTAAAAGTAATTTCATTTACTTAAAACTATATATTTATTAAAGTTTTTCTTATGAAAAATTTTCTAGTATAGCAGAATATAAGAAATAAGGAGAAAAAGCTCCCCAAAACTCTAAGTATGGCTTGTTCTGTCAACTAATATTCATGGTAAAGTCCTATTTCAAAGAAATTTTCTCATAAAATGTGTTTTGAAGACTCAGTCCACTCAGAATATTTCATTATTTGTAATATTTCACTTGAATAGCAAGAAATTTATACACATGAGAGTATTCACAAGGTCAAAGGTGCATGTACAGCTTCCTATTTTAGGTGTAATACCACCATTGATTTTCCCCTATTAGTCTTTGTTAAATTTGCACTTTTCAAATATTGTGCAGAATTTATCTTTGTTTCAAAAAAAGAAATACTTGGCATGAGTAAAGTTTTATCCTGTCCAGTACTATAGAAAATATTTCACATAACATTTCATTGTATATAACAAAATAACCATCACTGGAAGTTAACCAATCAATTTTTTCCAATTTTGTAACCCGTGTACAAGCTTTAGTAACCATGTAACCTCAAGTTTCCAAAATATTCTATAGAAACCCCAAATAAAAAAAAATGGTGCTTTGAAATACCCAAGATATATGTTTATGACACAGAAATGTTTTACTGCAATGAAATGTAGGATCAATTACCTACAAATGTCAAATTCAAGGGAATATTTTTTTCGACCTATTTTCGTATGCAACCGGATGTGACGTACTATGATTTGGTGGTATTACACCTTAAATCATATGAACTCTATAGAACAGAAAACCATAATTCCATTTAAGCAAATTTCAATTCTCAAATCATCCTCCAGAAATAGTTAATTTGAGCTAAAATCAAAATCTTTCTCAATGTATCAATATTCATATGTTAAAAATAAGTTTATCGTTTAAATGATTTTTTGAAATTGATATGATATTTGTCAGGAATCAGTGTTCAAATGAAGCTTTTGCATTTGTCTCAAACAATTTTTTATCAAATAGTCCGTTTCTATGTATGTTGGCGTTTGTTTTTGTTACACTTCAGTGTTTCTGTTGTTCCGTTGTTTTCCTCTTATAGTTGATGTGTATCCCTCGGTTTTAGTTTGTAACCCGGATTTGTTTTCTCTCAATCGATTTATGACTTTTAAACAGCGGTATACTACTGTTGCCTTTATTCAAATACCACCCTCTTCAAATAGGGATCGTTTTGCTTTCTTTCGTTAAGATAACACATCGAATGTTGTCAATATCAAGAAAAACTAAATTACCATAATCGAAAAAGGGATAATAAAAGTGTTTTAATGAATAAACTGTAAGAATAAGTTTTTTCTATGTTGAAAGTCAAAGACATGTTAAGAAATTCATTCTCGTTTAAGATTGAAATAAATACTGTTTTCACCAAGTGCTTTTCTATCACAAATCCGGCTTCTGTTTTTATGTTATTACACTATCACATAATATATTAGTTTTTTTATCAAATAAGAACGAAAATTAAGAATTTGGAAGATTGTATAACCTTCCGCAGCAACTGTCATCACCAACAGCTTCAGGTAAGGTTAATTCGTACATTTCTATGTATTGTTTTAATGTCAGGTTGTTGTATGTCCTACTATATTGCTTCTGTTTCTTCGACTATAGTTTTAGACTTCCTTCTTGTTATCTTGTTCCTTCTTTCAACCAAGGAAAGAATAACCAGTCTGCTCAAAGTTAATTGAATTAATGAAATCACAATAGAACTTAAAACTCAGATATTGATGTAAGACATCATTTGGTTTTGAAGTTTGTTTGTACCTGTAGAAAACTTATTTCAGATCCTGATTTTTACGGAGATGTTGTTTACCGTGCCCGGAAATTTAAAAACGATCCTGGTAAACGTATCGATCCTTTAAATAAACTTTTTCTAAAAGGTTACTAATGCAACACTGTAATTAGATCTTTGAATATTGTTTTATTGGTATAAATATTGATGTTGTTATCAGTAAATTAAAAGCAAACTAAATATTATTGTTATATACATATGCACTTTCATGGATCTACAATCTATCGAAACCTGTATCCTGGAATTGCACAAGGTCATGTTTTTCTGTGACTGTTTATGACGCCTATACACTAAATCCATTGGATGTTGGATGTGTAATGATTGATAATTTAGTCTTAGATGCAAGATTTATTTTTCAGTTGGTATTGGGTTTGAACTAGCTGTCAATAACTACGAGTACTCTCAGATCTGTACTTATGTGTTTATGCTGTTGGGATGTACAAGTACCCGACCACGTCCACTCTGTGTTTTTGTTTGATGTATTTCTATTTGTATCCATCTGATGAGTTAACCCTTTTTCAACTGATTTTGATAGTTCGTTCTTATGTTGTACTGTTACACCACTGTCCTATGTTAGGGGGAGGGTTGGGATCCCGCTAGCAAGTTTAACCCCGCCACATTCTGTATGTATGTGCCAGTCCTAAGTCGGGAGCCTGTAATTCAGAAGTTGTCGTTTGTTGCTGTGTTACATATTTGTGTTTCATTCATTTTTTTGTACATAACATAGGCCGTTCGTTTTTCTCGTTTGAGGAAAGAGACTTTTGTGTCTTTAAAGATCGGTAAAGCATGTGTATTTAAGACCCGTACATTTTTGTTTTATTTTGATTACATCGCCTTAATCCATTCGGAAAGAGTATATTCGAGTTAAGTCGATTCCATAGCAAACACTTTAATACTCGACCAAAGGACATTAAGGCTTGAACAATACCCGATCCCAGGAGTTTGAACCTTACTCGACCAGTCTGTGCCAAAATGTGAACCGTACTCGACCCAAAAAACTCGGCAAGGAATTCGTTTTTGTCCCGGCTGCCTATAATGTCATTATTGTTTGACGTAAGTTTTATATTGAGGTTCTGCAAAGGTAATGACTTTCCAACTGATTCAATTTGGGGAAATTACATCGTTAACGAATTGTTTTTTAGCTACCTCTTTACAAGCAGACCCGAAAAACATAAAAGTGCCAACTATTTAATAGCTGCACAAAATACATTACAAATCTAGATTTATTTCGTATCCAGCCCATTGTTCTCTACTAAACTGTCTATTCTACTTACTTGTACACTTGGTATAATAAAACAAAACCGGTAATAAATATAAATAAGGCCTACAAAAATCGTGGAATTAATTACTTTTAGAGTGTAAAAAATTCGTAAACGCATTTGACTAACAGGTCGAACAACGGATGTTCTTAAACCCTGCTGACTGCCATTGGCGATTGCCAAATAAATTGATCACCAGTACAAAATGGATCTTAATATTAATAAATACCAAACAGAAAACAATAAACTTGTGGAAAAGATGGTTTATCACAAACATGAGGTGCAAAAATGTTTATACACCATATCCGGATTTCGACAATTAATGTCTCTTTAGTGATGTTAGGGATCGAAATGGTATTATGAAGGCCATATAATTTACCTCAATTTAGGATAGACTCTTGAATTTTAAAGAGTCAAAATAGGATGAACGGAATATATAGATATAGATCTTTAACGGGAAGCTTAATACTTAATATTTATATATCTCAATTTGTTCGATTAGTTCGTGTATGTAACAACGTTTTTGGTTTTAACGAATGAAATATCTGTAGTACTGAAAATTATTACAACAAGGTTTTCGATATCACAAACTTATCAAAACTTTTAGGAAAATGGCTATTGTTATCTTATAGTTCGTTTCTGTGTGTGTTGCATTTTAGTGTTTCTGTAGTGTCTTTGTTCTCCTCTTATATTTGATGTGTTTCCCTCAGTTTTAGTTTGAAACCCGGATTTGTTTTATCTCAATCCATTTATGAGTTTCGAACAGCGGTATACTACTGTTACCTTTATTTACTAAATTTTATCTTCGATACAAAGACATCATTTGTAAATATCAATCAACGTGGAGATATCGTATACGTTTGGAATTTTGACATCCTATATTTTATGGTAATATTCTATAAAAAGAAAAAAAAAGTCGTCATTCACCTTAAACGCTAACCGAATCTTTAATTTAATTAGGCCTATTCAGAGGGGATATAGTTACGATACTGTTGTCAAGTCATTAAAGATGGAATTTTTTTTTTGGAATTAATATTAATTCACTCATAAAGTCTTTGCATCAAAAATAAACACTTTTATTCTTAAACCAGTTGTTGGCCTTATACGGATTATGTTCTTTTCGTGTTATTTATGATGGCATTATACTTACCCCTACGCATTTTTGCGCCTATCCCAAGTCATGAACCTCTGGCCTTTGTTAGTCTTGTGTGGTTTTTTCTTTTTATTTTGGTTCATTAATATGTTTCGGAGTTTAGTTTGGTGTCCATTTTTGCTGAACTAGTATACATTTGTGTTTAGAGGCCAGCTGAAGCAGGATTTTCTCGCTGTGTTGAAGACCCATTGTGGCCTTGGGCTATTTTTCTCATCTGACAAATCACTTATATAGTACCGTTTGGTCAAATGTCTAGCTAAGGGAAACAAATTTTGTAAATGAATAAACTCTTAATAGAAACTGAGAGATTAAGAATAGATCGAGGATTGTTAAGATTTAGTCGAGTATGGTTCAGTCTTCGTTGAGTATGATTCAGACTTGGTCGATTATGGTTCAGACTTGATCGAGTGTGGTTCAGATATCAGATTCTTTTAAATGGTTTAGAAATGGTAGAGTACATGTCATTACAAGTTCAGAATGTCTAGTATGGTTCAGACTATAGTCGAAAAATATCAAACAAAATTCAGACCAATTCCGATTGGCCGAGTAAAAAACAGTACAATCGAGTACAAATATTGCCCATTTCAGACTCATACTAGTTAGCAGTGTTATATATTTTAATGTTGCTATGTGATTTAATTGTACTAAATCGTGTTTGAAATGCAAAAAGAAGAATCACTGTTCTATTATGTACAGTTTCGGATAGGTTATCCATAACAGTGACATTTGGCCTTATTTGGATATCTACTAGACAACATATTGCCTTTCAATCTACAGGTTTATAAACCACCATAAATAAATTAATAGAAACATTAAAGTTGTTCGATATAAAATTGAGAATGGAAATTGGGATTGTGTCAAAGAGACAACACCCCGACAAAAGAACAGAAAACATGACAGAAAATACCACTTAATTATTTTTGTTCAGTCCGTAGCGATTAGCAGGATTTAGCCCTATCAATAACCTTCAAACTCAAACATCTTGAGATCCAGGTATGTTTGTTTTTCCTAAATACTTCAAGCTCTATCTATATGACCAATATAATCATCAAAGATTCCAGGCTAATAATTGCGCATGCCAGATGCGCGTTTCGTCTTCAAAAGACTCATCAGTGACGTTCGAATCAAAAAGTAAAAAAGCCAAATAAAGTACGACGTTGATGAGCATAGATGAACCAAAATTCAGAACTGTTTTGGAAAATACAGGTACCAAAAGGGACTTAAAAATAGCCTAAAGGTCAATTTTGCCTGAGGAATTCGGAACCTTAATTTCCTAATAGTCTCTTATTTTATCGACGGGGAGCTTAGGAAAAGTCTGTAAAACATCATGAAAGTACTGACTACTACTAGTATGTTGATGATATCCTCAGTATACCGGCAGTGGTGTGGACCTAGTGCTAGTAAATGAAAAAAAAATGATTTCGTGCGTCCATCCGATATTTGGCATAGTGCATGCACCTATTGGATTGCCAAATGGTGAACGTCGGCGATTTAATCTTTCAAAAGATAAGTAGGGCATTTACATAAATTAAGTGTATGACATGATGACAAACGCTTGTTTCATAACTATATAGGACGTGAAATTGAAAAATAGATATCTACTGCGAATTGACATAATAAAGTAAACAAACGTATTGGACATAATGATATAGCAGTAATAATACCAATTTTACTGAAATAATGTTGATTTATCCAACAAAGGCCAAAACATTACCTCAACTTTCAGACAAAATGTATAATGTAAATTAATTAGAAATGAGGAGATTTGCAGTTTGCAGAACAATTTCGAAACTAAATGTACAACTAACATGATTCGAAGCAAAAACTGATACGAATGTTTCCGAAATCCAAATACATTCATGAAAGATCATATAATCCAACAAAATATAGGACCCTCAAAAAAGCATCTTGTTCAGGTGGATCAACCTGATAATGATAACAGTGTGTTCTTAAAAATGGTAGCAGTTCTGCAAAAACAAAATCACTTTAAATAATTCTATCCCTGACCATGTTAAGCCAAAGTCTATAAATTGGTATTGACTGCCTCTCATGTAAGCACGTATAAATAAGGAGTGAGAGCAAAAACTGGTCTGGCTGGAATCAGAATAATGAGTCCAGATAGACTGACATGTCTAACTGCGAACTATTGCCTTGTAAACAATTTTCTGGTTCTGTTGATAAAACATTGGTGGCATTGGGCTCTTTTCTACTCTTTGTCGGGTTCTTGTCTCCTTGACACATTCCCCGTTTCTATTCTCCATTTATAGAAAGGCTAATCGAAGAATTCAAATATAGAAATATATTCAACGAGTGACCGAACAACACATTAATTAACGAATGCGCGTAGCGCATGAGTTAATTATCAGTGAAGTAATTCGGTACTGGCATGAAAATACGGATTTTGTGTTATTAAAATTTGCTGTTACAAAATTTTGGAAATTATTTCAAACTAAGGAATGTATCTCCCTCATGCAAAGCTCTGATTCCTTGTCCGGCTTTGGCTATACTGTTTTGTTCTTTTTGGTTTATAGCTCTTCATCTTTTTAATAAGCTTTGGATTTTCAAATATTTAGGACTCGAGCATCACTGAGGAGATATTGATTGTCGAAATGCGCATCTGGCGCAAAAACATTGGTACCGTTTATGTTGTTACTATTGTTGTATAACGGCAGAGGAGTGAAATAACCGAGTTTATTTCACATGTGAAATTATCGGTTTTTGTTTCACTGGAAAATCACGGTAATTCATTGCAACCAATTTAATAATCTCCGTTAACAATCCGACTCCGCGTGTCGTCCCGTAGAAAGCAGAGTTCATATTTACATAGGTCAAAATACGCATTTATTTTTTGTCATCATCATCATCATATATTTATATGTGTTGGCAGTTATGGAACTAGCTGTTTTCATTATTTGTATAGACGTCTATACCCAAACTTAACAATTTATGAATATAAGTGTGTTTCTTTCCAATAGTCCATTGATTAAGCACTTATAGAAATTTATGGAATAAACATATTGATTATAAGTATTAAGACAAACCGAATGGACCAAATTGAAAATGACATTTAAGGTTTCAGCGCAGACAAAATAGAAATCATTAAGTAGAATACACACTGTCAGGTATATGAAAAAAGATAAAACTTACGACATCTTACACCAATTAATTTATTTTTCAGAAACGATTAACATTCGTACTCCATTTCTTGACGTGAGAGAAACCCTAATGTTGACACCTTTTAGGAAGAGCAGAAGAATAACAAGTATGGGTAGATACAATAGACGCAGAGGTACTGTATGTTATAATTATCTAAGTATCCTGAAATGAACAGAATGTAGGTGCGATTTATTAACAGTAATTTATATATATTTAAACAAAATTATTCAAATATGTTAAGAAGATACAAAATAACGAAAAAAATAATAAAAAATAAATTAAAAAAACACGTTCTGGCGTGTAAAATTTTACGTTTAATAAAAGAATAGAACTTTTATGACACTATTCTTGCAACATTATCTTTCTTTTAAAAAAAACAGATAATTTTCAAAAGAAAGTAAAATATTACAACACATAACACATAGGATTTAACATTTCTTACAGAATTAGGGAATGTGTATAGTGTTTATCCACACCATCATGGAGTAACAGAGGACGAAGAATGGAAATGTATTATAACAGACCAGGATATAACGGATCTATACCAAGGTAACATTGTTAGCATACAAAAGTAGTCTTTAATGACCCTACTCACTATAGCCACATGTTTTGAATGTCCAGGATATTTAAATACCAGACTAGTCGTCTAATCTATAAATCTGTATCCCATTCCCGATTGTGACAATTTGACTGAGCGTTGATAACATTAGGTGGCAAAACCTTTAGAAATTCAGGGTCATCAATGCTCTTCGTCTTCGTCCTTTAATTTGTCTTTTAACTATTTTGATTCCATGGAAAACCCATTCATGCGTCTCATAGCAAAATCATTTAGGAAAGAATTGAATGTCTTTGTATGATTTATAGTCACATTGTGCAATATTTTTGATTATTTTTTTATTAAAAGACGAGAAGGCTATTCAAAAAGCAGATTTAGATCCTTTAAGAATTTTTCAGTATAAGGACATGGAAAGTAACTACACATTGCTAGTTAACATACAAATCGTGGTGCCAACGATAATAATTTAATACAAATAGACAGGAAATACGAAAAACAAACAAAGGTATGGATTTGACTCATTGTTGAAGGCCGCACGGTTACCTATAGTTGTTAAGTTCTGTGTCATTTGATCTCTTGAGGAGAGTTGTCTCATTGGCAATCATAAAAAATCTTCTTATTTTTATATTAAGTTCATAAAATTACAATGATTAAACACATAAAAAAATATATCCGCTAACCGGGTCCCTGTGCCTAAAATTGCTAAAAAAATCCGTGTCATTTGAACTCGTCGAATCATGGGCAATCATACCACATCTCTTTAATTTATTAAACAGGACATAAAAATAAATAAATTGGTTGAAATAGGCAATGTCCATCGATTCGTAATAAAAGAAATTACAATGTAAAACATAAACACAGCCAACAGTAGCAAGATTCATATACAACAGAGACTTGAGAATGGTTCAAGAAGTCGGTCCAAACCGAAAAGGAACCACTTCAATATCCCCCAGAAATCGAAGAAAGGAGAAGACATCTTTATCCAAGAATGAAAGAAGCAAAAGAACAAGGAAAATGCTACAATGATCATAAAAGATAAACTGATAATAGATGGAAATGTATATAACCTAATGCCAGACCACGAGATTCAGGGAACAAAAGTAACTAATGAAATGACTAGACCTGCGAACAGGCCAAGTAAAAGAGCACGAACTAACTCTTCCAACAGTAATCTACCTGAATAATGTTGCGGATGGGGACTCTAAGATTCGAACTCTTTTTTTTTAAATACTTTCTTTGAACATTTGCGGTATAAAAAGATGAATGCAATATCCGGACTTGATTGAACTTATAAACTCATATCATATTATTTTCCTACAAGAGACAAACACCGATGACTGCGATGATATTTTTATTCCAAGCTATATTTTAGAGATAAAAACAGATGGAGATTCAATGACAGGAGATCCGGGGGTTTAATTGTGGGGTTCAAAGAAACTTTTTAGGGACACATTAAAATTATCAAAAGTAATAGCAAATACGTCCTTTGGTTTAAACTCTCTTCTGCTTAAACTAAACTAGATGAAGATGCCCTATTTGGCACTGTATACATTCCACCAGAAAATGTTAAATATATCTCATGCGATGGTTTCCGTGAAATTGAGAACGAACTATTAACTTTGTCGAGCGATTGTAAATATATATGCTTAGCAGGAGATTTCAATACCCGATCGTACACCGATCCAGATTTTATACAAATAGATCCAAATAATATTGTCGATGAGATCAATGATCTTCATTGCATACCGCAAAATGAGAAGGACAAACTAGTAAATTGTAATATTCATAAAATAAGAGGTAATAAGGATAGAAATTAAAAAAAGTTTAGCAACTTGCTTCTTGGCATGTGCAAATTTAATAATTTGTTTACAATGAATGATCGTATTGACGGAAATATATCAGGCAAATTAACAAGTAAAAGTTCATCTGTGGAACTACCGATTTCGTACAAATGGTTCGTCATTCCGTTGTACTCAACTTTAGAATATTGTACTCAGACGTCCACTGCCCATTAGAAATATCATTGATCTTTGAGACGGAGTATCAGTTGGAAAAAAACATGTACCAACGGCCAAATAACTAGAAATGGAGATAAGATAAGCAAATGGAATATTGAATGAAATGACATATTTAAAGCTAACAAATATGCTGTTAATGTATCTGCATTAGAAGAAACCTGGTGAATGGACATTTTATTAAGAATCCGTATCTTTTAATTTTTATTCATATCATATTTCTGGGTTTATTTTTGATTTTGTTTGTTTTTTGTGTTTACTTTTGAATTTTTGTATTTTTGTGTTATTATTTTGTATTTTTGTATTGTTTTTGTATAAAATTACTCCATGAACCACCTTAATCATTGTATGTTTAATTATTATGTTTCCCCCTCTGTACCTTTCTTAATTGGTTTTAGAGAATAATGTATCTATCTATCTCCTTATTTCAAATAGCATAATAATTTTTGTTAATTCATTACATACAACTGCTTATAAAAATACTTATTTACAAACTAATCCTTTGTCACAAACTGTATATACAAAATGAACATAAGAACAAATGTGCACGAGATAGTAAGACACAAACTTTATAACCGTTTTAATTTGTATTTCTAAAATTTGATTTAAGGTGATGGAGATGACAAAAGTGAAACCGATTCAGGTATAGCGTGAGATATCAAAGGTAATTTATTTTTATGTGTATACCCACCTACGATAGTAGTAAGATCATTATGTTTTCTGGTCTATGCGTCCGTTCGTTCGTTCGTCCGTCCGTCTGTCCCGCTTCAGGTTAAAGATTTTGGTCAAGTCAGGATAAAGTTTTTGGTCAAGGTAGTTTTTGCTGACGTTGAACTCCAATCAACTTGAAAGTACACATATGACCCATGATATGATCTTTCTAATTTCAATGCCAAATTTTGACCCCAACTGAATACTGAAAATGATAGTGCAAGTGGGGCATCCGTGTACTATGGACACATTCTTGTTTTTATTATCAGTAAATATGAATTATCACTCGAATTTTACTAGCTATATATATTTTATAAGGAATTTGTAAAATCCCTGATTTTGACTAGGGATTTTACGAAATCCCTGAAATAATTAAGATTTATTTTTATAGATTCAGTGATTAAATTCATAAAATAATCGATCTTTTTGTTTAAATTATTCATTGAAAAAGACAAAAGTCTTCAACAGTAACACTGGTCCTGTTTAAATAAAACAAGACGAGAAAAATCTATTGACCCACACAAGAGACAAAAGAGACAAAGCAAGCTCAAATCACTAAACTCAATACCCAACTTAAGTAATACATTACCCTCATTTTACCTAAATTCAATAAAAAGCTAGAACAAAGCTTATAAAACACCAACAATTAACATACTCATCACAAACTTTCAAAATATTAGGCAGCAAATCTTGTTGGGTAACAAAAATATAAAATTTAAACGAAAATGTTTAGTTTTTCTTAATTGGATAAACTTGTCCTTGACTGTAAACAGAACAACTTAACTAATTGAAAAATGTGTTATCTAAAACAATATATAACCTTTTAAATATCCAAAATGATGAGAGACCTATATGATTCTTAAAACGGAAAAACGTCTTCAAATTAGAATCAATCACTCCAATAAGTACACGCTACATGTTTCAATATACTTTTTTTTATCTAAAAAATAACAAATATAAAATTTACCGATGGAAATTGCTCCATTACATCCTCCCATGTAAACAATTACTACAACAATGGAACATACAAGATACCAGTATGTGTGTACTGTATAATTTGACTGAAGACTACTAACACTTTTTTTCCTTAAATGTGAATACTTTCATGAATTTTGGAACAAAGTATGTGTGCTTGTAATCAAAACCAACATAGGATCACATATATTTAATATAAAAAAAATAATAATGGGCTATAAAGTGCATAATTCTATGTATCACAATATAAATCTTTTCTTAACTATCTTGATCTCGTCAATTCACAAATGTACTCATATATCCAATTATATACAAAAAGATATAGATGCCGTTTTCAGAAATGAATTTATGACAACATACGAAATTTACAAATTGATTAAAGCTAAAACAGCACATTTTTAAATGATATAAAAAGATACATATGATCATGAATAGCTAGATATCTACTATTTTCAGAAATACGATATTTGCTATGCCTTAAATGCTTCTGAGTGGTGGTAAATTTAAATGGCATGCTTACTGAAAACGAATGACAGTAGTTGTCTCCAAACTCATATGCTTATAACTTATCATATGACAGCTCAATCAGAATGTAGAAACAAACTAAATAAGAATCCAAAACTTACCACTTACAATATGTAATTGAAGTTCAAGCTGTTTGCGAGAAAAGCAATTACGACCCATTCAACAGGACAACTAATTGACGTTTTTTTTAAAGAAAGGGTTAAATGCAATGATCAGAAAGTTATAGTACTGAGAAACAAAAGCGGACAAAACTGTAATCATGTGACTTTAACACATATGGCAATTGTCAAATATCCAATTTCTATGTATGCTGGCGTTTGTTTTTGTTGCAGTTCAGTGTTTCTGATGTTCCGTTGTTTTCCCCTTATATTTGATGTGTTTCCCTCGGTTTCAATTTGTAACCCGGATTTGTTTTCGCTTAATCGATTTATGACTATGGAACAGCGGTATACTACTGTTGCCTTTATTTATATATTCAAAAATATTTGTGTTAACTCTGATTTGTAAAACTAACTATTTACAAATATGAATTCACAGCGTGATATCCCTGGTTATTCAGTGACTTATTCACAGGGATTCTCGGCCAACTGCTGTAAGTCGAGTTATTTGCCATAAAATCAAAGTTAAGTGCAATAAAGATGTTGTAGAGAGAAAAACCAATTACTACCTTGTTTACAAGTTAATGTTAAGTGCTTCAGTCTGTAATTGCTGTAAAGTATAATAGAAATTAAAAAAATTTCTAATCAAATGTAAAGGCAGTACATTGAATTGATATCCTTCATAAGAGGAGAAAAACACACAAGTTAGAAATTGATTAACTTATGTCGTGTCTCTTAGTATCAAGGATCAAAGGCATATCAGGGTGAGAATATGTTAATGTGGTGTTGGAATGAATCCTGTTTTGTGTTAGACCATGGAAGTAATATAATACGTCCATGCTTAGACCGACACGCTGATCCAGCAGAATAAAAACATGCTAGTTCACATGTTAAAAGTCCACCAGAAGACATGTCACCCTATCTGGACATATTATTCTGACTCAAATTCTGGAAACAAGTCAAATATTATCTTCGTAGGTTTTTCGTGTTTAATCAGTAAAAAAGAAAGTTAAAAAAATGAGATAAGTGTTTTCAGATTAATATAATACACATACAAACGTGATTGTACCCACAAAAAAATATAACAGAGACAAGAAGTATGTAAAAAACATATCTTGTGTTGGACCTGCATTTCAATTGATAGGTAATCAACCATGCAAAAATAGGTTACCTTGACCATTTTATTATGCTTCACTTGGTTTGGTCCTTTCTAAGATATTGTGATATATATCCCACATGCATTCATGCTATCACATAGGAATACACAATGTTTTCTTTATTTTTCCACTCTTTGGATCAATATCTAATAAAAAGCAAAGTTTTTGATTAATACTATTTAGATTAATTAAATGTATTCTTTAAATCCGTGTATATGTCTTTTGTTCATAGTCACTATAAAATAGTGAAAACAAGTAAAGTCTATTCAACAAATATATTTAAACAATCAATGGTCTATTCAAATTAAGAAAAATACATTACTGATATTAAGTTTGAACTCGAAATTAGGGATTTTACAAAACCCTTCGCAGTATTTTCATTTTCTATTTTCAGATGTTAAGAAGACTTGTTCTTGAACCTTTTGCTAACTCAATCAGTCAATCAGAGAAAGAATGTTTTCAGCATCTGTTTTACTCAATTACGCATATCTTTTCATAACTTCCCATAATTGCATGTGCGTGTACATTTTTTTTACATAAAATAAGCATACAGGTGTATTGCTATCACTCGGTGTCAAATCTGGCTAATTAGTTTGGATTAGCATTTTATCTAGTTTTAATCTATAGCTTATAACAATTAACTATAATTGAATGATTTTGCTTGTGTAATTTTAGTTCATTAATTTTGTAATTGTTTTGTATAATAATGATGTTGTAACTGCAAAAGGCTATGATTGCTAATAAAGGGTAATTTTCCGAGGCCCCATCTGGACAGTTTATTTTTTTAGGAAAATTATTCACTTGGCGGTTTTAGAGTACATGATGATGGTATTTGTGGAAAAAAATATAGGCACAAAAATATGTAAATCATTTGATTGATAAACTAGGTGTGTTAGTGTAGTTATACTTTTTGGTATTTGCTTGAAACTTTTTGATGTTATTTTGCAAGTAGATAAGTTTGTTATAATCATTATCAACTTTCATAATATCAAAGTGCACCTGAGATCACCCCCAGTTTTTGGATTGGGTTCGTGTTGTTCAGTCTTAAGTTTTCTATGTTGTGTTTTGTATACTATTGTTTGTCTGTTGGTCTTTTTCTTTTTTAGCCATGGCGTTGTCAGTTTATTTTCAACTTGTGAGTCTGAATGTCCCTTTGGTATCTTTGGCATCTCTTTTAAATATAGAAATATCATGGTAAGTAAAAATGAAGCAGTCGGCATGGTCCGTTACTTCAATAATTCGAAATGACGAGTTTTTTTTCTTTCTTATTTTATCAAGGGGTGGGGCCTTTTATTCTATTTGCGTCACTGATTAGTCTATTGTAGACGAAAAGCGCGTCTGGCGTACAAAATAATAAGCCTGGTATCTTTTATAAACTACTAATTTGTAAATAACATTTTTATACAAGTGGTGAATCTTATTACCGCAATTGTGCTGTGTACTAGTTTTGATTAATATCATTTTATATTTTAAAGCACCAAAGACTTTTAAATCTTTTTCTTAATACACATAAACAAATTTTATTTTTGATTTGTATCCGCTTTTCGATAAGTAAATATTAATTGCTGATCCGATTGGTGAAGTGGTATGAAGTAAACGGAGGTACATACCTGTACAGAACAGAACAGTTTTTTTTTATATACTTCTAAGTATTTTTTATTGACTTTTACTGCTGTAATTGCAGCTTCTCCTGGTCTAACTGTTATAAATTAAGCCGCAAGTTTGGCAAAATGAAGTTTAATGTTCCTCATTACTGATGAGAATAATAGCTAAGAGAAAAGATAAGATTGTTATGACCACTTAATATAACCAAATATACCCTTAATCGTCTTGATAAGACCTTTCTATTTTAACCATAGGTTTCGTCCAAACGGTAAAATAACAAAAATACCGAACTCCGAGAAAAATTCAAAACGGAAATAGATATAAGAAGATGTGGTATGAGTGCCAATGAGACAACTCCATAATTAAATGGCAAAATCAAAAGCTCAAAACACAAGAAGAGAGTATGTATCAAACATTTTGCAACGGGTAGGAAAAGGTACATACCATGAAATGAGGCTTTGCCTCGATCACTTAATTTCATAGTGTAGACCTTTCCATTAACTATCCTATTTAATACAAATATAACAAAATGTACACTGTGTCACTACTGAACCGTACATATTTTGAACTGACAAATGATAAG